TTTAGGTAGTCAATCGGACCATTTCATGTTGTTTGGAATTGCAAAAAAACTGTTGTGTATTGCAGAGAATTTAGACCTTCGCGTTCGCGATTGGGTCCTTGCATTCGCAAAGGGTTAGTTGGTGAAGGCTGGGAATTAAGCCTTCGTATTTGTGAGGAAGGCTCCGCGTTCGCGAAGGGCTGGGTGATTGGTCATCGCATTCGCGTGAAGTGGACCGCGTTCACATAGAGGAATTGGGCAGCCGAACTTCAGGGTATTTTATTCACTACGTTCGCGAGTGAGGTAACGCGATCGCGAAGGGTCAAGCGGAAGAAGTATCGTGTTCGCGATAGGCAGGTCGCGATCGCGAAGAGTAATTTTTGTCAAAGTTGATTTGTGCTTCGCGAACGCAAGGCGTTGACCGCATTCGAGAAGAAGGAAATGAGGCCTAGGCAGAATGTTTAAATAGTCATCTTGTCCGCAATGTTTGGGTTTATTTCCACCATTTTTGAGCGTTTTTGGAGCTTTTTGAAGAGGATTGAAGAGGGATTCAAGGGAAACACTTGGAGGTAAGATTCATGGACTTAATACTCGATTCTAAAGTGAAATCTACCTAATTAATCATGGAAATTAAGCCTAAAATTGAAGAACTAGGCTTGAAATTGGAGACCTAGAATCTGGGATTTGAGGGGTCATTTGTGGTTGGATTTTGATGCTTTTGGTATGAATGAACTCGGGGAGTGATAAGGAATTCATTGATGTGAATTTTATCGGGATCTGGGACGTGGGCCCGAGGGGAGGGTTTTGATAATTTCGGGATTTGTTTTGTAAATTGAATATTTTCGCTTGGGCTTTGTTCCCTTAGCATATTTTGACGTCGTGATTCTGATTTTGGATGGATTCGACGCGAGTGGAGGCCGATTCGAGGGGCAAAGGCGTCGCGGGCTAGAGTTTGGACCGGATTGTGGTGAGTAATGATTGTAAATAATGTCCTGAGGGTATGAAACCTCGGATTTGCACATCGTAGTGCTATATTGAGGTGACGCACACGCTAGATGATGAGCATGGGGTCGTGCACTATTGAGGATTGTGACTTAGTCCATCCCGAATGACTATTTTACCGCTGAAATCTATTTGTGAACATCATGTTTTGGGCTGAATGCCATATTTGGGGCTCGTGCCAACTATTTGACCCTTAGGGGATTTTTATTGATATTCCATCATTGTTTTGACTTTATACTTGAACTCAGTCATGCTATATTCAACGTGTTTTCATAACTCAACCATGTTTACTCTACTTTAACACTTAAATGATATTTTGGGCTGAGTATTATATTTCACTGTTGCCCGATTGGCTTGTGAGGATTTTGACTGAGTAAGGCCGACGGCCTATGTTGTGAGGAAACACCTGATTATGATTATGAGGCCGAGGGCCTGAGATTGTACACCACGAGGTGGCTTGTTGATATGAGGCCGAGAGCCTAGTCATGATGCCACGAGATGGCTTGATATTGCGTTTGGGCCGTAAGGGGCCCCTCTAGGAGTCTGCACACCCCCAGCGAGCACGGGTACCCATTGTGATGTGAGATATAGCCCGAGGGGCTGGTATTATTCTGAGACATTGCCCGAGGGGTAAATTTGTTGATATTGTGCCCGAGAGGGGAACCTTTATGTGTTTATCTTTCTTATTGCTTGTCATTTACCTACTTAATTGTTGAAAAGGCATTTCATGAAGTTTAACTGAACTAAAATGATTTTTACATATCTTTACTAATTCACTGCCTACCGACTTTTACTACTTTATTATAACCTGTAATGTGCCTTACGTGATTTCTTGCTTTCAGTCTTTATTTATAATTATTATTCACCGAGTTGGAGTACTCACTTTACTCCTTACACCCCGTGTGCAGATTCAGGCGTTGTTGATCCTGCTAGCGAGAGTTGGAGCTCCCGGGCACTTCGGAGTTCACGAGGTAGATGCTTGGCGTCCGCAGTCCCGTGTTTCTCCCCCTTTATCTCATTTATATCTCTTTTTAGTTATTCTGTAATAGCTTGGTAGGCATTTCAGACTTGTAGTATATTGATAGATGCTCATGACTAGTGACACCCCGATATCGGACTGTGTTGGGTTTATTTTCCGTAAACTATTCGGTTAACTACTTACCTTTGGGTTATTTATTATGTTTTAGACTTAATTCTTATTGTTTAATTGCTTAAAACTGGAATGGGAAATTGTCAGCTGGCCTTGTCTTCATGAGAGGCATCATCACGACCGGGTCTAGGTTTAGGGTCGTGACAAGTTGGTATTAGAGCCTAGGTTACATAGGTCTCACAAGTCATGAGCAGGTTTAGTAGAGTCTCGCAGATCGGTACGGAGACGTCTGTATTTATCCTCGAGACGCTGTAGAACCTTTAGGACAAACTTCATATTCTTGAAATTCTTGTCGTGCAAATTTGTTGATCCGAGTACTTAACTTTTGTTATTTTATTCTCTCGCAAATGGTGAAGACACGCACTACCGATCAGGATGGACGACCACCAGTACCACTAGCTGTGGCCACTAGAGGCCAAGGACGCGGTCGTGGTTGCGGTAGGGGCAGGGGTGTGGCTAGCACAATAGCTAGGGCAGCACCTGCAGATCCACCAGCCGCCCCAACCCAGGATCAAGTCCCGGTTATGGACGATCCAGCAGTACCAGCTGTGCCCATTGTGATTCCGGGTCTTCAAGAGGCCTTGGCTTAGATCCTATCAGTTTGCACTAGCCTAGCTCGGGCGGTCTCAGCTACTAAAGCTGCAACTACTTCTCAGGCCGGGGGAGGCAATCACACTCCCGCCGCTCGCACACCTGAGCAGATCGTGCAGGGACTTCAGACACCGGGGGCACATCCAGCCCAGCCAGTTGTAGCTGCTCAGGAATATGTAGTTCTTACCATGCTAGAGGACGAGCAGTGTAGGTTGGAGAGGTTTTGGTAGACTTTAGCCTGGGACCTTCAGTGATGCAAAGGGAGAGGATGCCCGGGGTTTCTTGGATAAGTGTCAGAGGATGCTTCGTACAACGGGTATTCTAGAGACCAGCGCGGTCGCTTTCACTACTTATCAGTTTTCTAGAGCTGCCTTCACTTGGTGGGAGACTTTGGAGAGGCGTAGGCCTGTTGGTGCAGCACCACTTACCTGGCAGCAGTTCTCTGTTCTCTTTCTGGAGAAGTATGTGTCGTTGTCTCACATAAAGGAGCTACGCATGCAGTTTAAGTGGTTGCTCTAGGGAGAGATGACTGTAACGCAGTATGATATGAGGTTCTTCGAGTTAGCTCGTCATGCTATTTGGTTGGTTTCGAAAGAGAGAGAGAGGATTAGGAGGTTTGTTGATGGCCTCACTTATCAGCTTCGTATTCTTATGACTAGGGAGAGGGTGACTGGGGCTACTTTAGAGGAGGTTGTGGATATTTCCCGTGAGATTGAGTCTGTTCGTCGCCAGGAGTGAGAGGAGAGGGAGGCTAAAAAGTCTCGAGGATCTAGTAGTTACAGCGGTACGCCTTCGAGAGGTCAGGTTCAGTATTGTAGAGGCTGTCCATTCAGGCATGCTCAACCAACTCGCCCAGGTTATCGTGGGATGTCATTGGGCCATGGTTCTCACAGTTCTTATCAGGGCCAGTCATCACTTAGTGCCCTTCCAGCTTAGAATTTGTCTCGTGCTCCATCAGTTCAGGGCTATTCTATGCCGAGTGCATCTGCTAGTCATTCCAATGCTAGGGGTTCCCTTCAGTCCCCTTCTCCAGCACCCATGAGCTGCTATGAGTGTGGAGAGATGGGTCATATGTGGAGGCAGTGTCCTCGTCGTCTTACGATTTCATCTGAGAAGAGGGGTCAGTCATCAGCTTCATCGCCAGTTACTTCACCACCATCGCCAGTTCATCTGAGTCTCTCACTTTACTTGTTCATGTATCTACCCCGGTGGGCAATACTGTTGTTGTAGACCATGTGTAGCGGTACTGTGTGGTGACTATTGGGGGTCTGTACACCCGAGTGAATCTTTTATTATTGTGTATGGTGGATTTCGATGTCATTTTGGGCATGGATTGGCTATCTCCGTGTCATGCTATTTTTTACTGTCATGCTAAGACAGTCACATTGGCTATACCGGGTGTGCCACGGAATGAGTAGCGAGGTGTGACTGATTATGTTCCCAGTAGAGTGATTTCATTCTTGAAGGCCCAACGTATGGTTGAGAAGGGTTGTCTTTCGTATCTAGCCTTTGTGAGGGATGTCGATGCAGAGACTCCCAATATTGATTATGTTCCTGTTGTGAGGGATTTTCCCGATGTATTTCCTGCAGACCTGCCGGCCATGCCACCGGATAGGGATATTGATTTTGGTATTGACCGGGTGTCGGGCACTTAGCCCATTTCTATTCCGCCGTATCGTATGGCACCAGCGGAGTTGAAGGAGTTAAAGGATCAGCTTCAGGAACTCCTCGATAAGGGGGTTCATTCGGCCTAGTGTGTCACCTTGGGGTGCGCCGGTTCTATTCGTGAAGAAGAAGCACTACTAGAAAAAAGGCTTATGGCAACCCTTCTAAAACTGTTGCAATAAATACACTAACCGACCCTATAGAGATACTAGGATGGTTTAGCACTCGTTCCCGGATTTGCTGTTACCATAGGTCTATTAGAATGGTTATATGGGTTATGTGGAACGGTTATGAAACCGTTACATCAATCTGTGGAACAGTTTTATTTTGGTGGGACGGTTATAAACCGTTCTGATATATTTGTGCGAACGATATTTTACGACTATCGCAACGGTTTTTATAATATATTGTAATGGTTTTTGTGATCTATTGCAACAATTATCTATAGCCTATTGTAACAGTTATTAGGGGCTGCTATTATTGTTTGCTAGGTCTATTGCAACGGTTATATGGTATATTTCAATGGTTATATATATTTATAGCTAGGAATATTTCCCTTGCAACAAAATTTTATACACCATAACTTATATAACAAAATTTTATACACCATAACTTATATAAACTACAAAATAACATTGAAATATCAAACTAGCATTATCCATACACAAAAATAAAATATGCAATATTGTTTGATCAACAATATCTAAGTTGAAATAGATGAGTTTGCGTACAAAAAGTTCTAAACTAAAATATCCTGGAACATAATGAGAAAGTCTAGCAACGATCAACAACACTCAGGTAAGGTCTTCATCACTGCTTTCATCTGCAATCGTTGCACCTACAAATGACGATCAATAAATGATTAAACAAAGAAAATTTTAAGATGTTTGAATCACAAAGTAATTGATTCAAAGCCTGAATGTCAAACAAGAAGATAAATATTTTCTAACTTCCAATATTTCCATAAGACAACTAAAAGGTTTTACATTTTCAAATGACATTAGTATTCAAAGCCTCAACTCCATTTCAAAGCCAATCAATTCCAACAGCAGACCAAAGTAACGAAGGAACACTCTAGCTCCTGTCAATTTACACTGCAGAATCTAACATTTGACAATTAAAAATAGAGGAACACAAACGCAGATTCTAACTGACATAATGCGTACAGATACAGCAACCAAAAGTCACTTCACTATGCTAATTGACACATAAAACAATCTGCCCAAATTCCAGAATCAGCAATAGACAAATGATAGAATTCAACTCTCTAGATATTACTACATGAACAGATTATTTCAACAACCTAAGGCATCGGAAACTCACAAAAATTATTAAATTGTCAATGAGTTAATACCTGTAATGAGCTGGCCTCCTTTGATGCTACCAATAGATGGACGATGAATTGGTTGCAAAGTTGTTTGTTGTGAAGATGAAACTTCTCTTGGTGAATTATCACCCAATGCTGCTAGAATAATATTAGCATCAATGTTAATTCCAGAACGTTGAAGTCGTGCAAGAACATCCGCAATAACTTCTTGACAAATAGTTGCCTTTTGTTCCTCAATTTTTTCTTCCATTCTCTGTATTTTTTCCTCCATTTTTTGCAAACAATTTGTGGAATGTGAAGAGTGTTCAGAACATCCTACTTTTCCTCTCAAAGAAGTTCTTGTAACCCCCCGTCCATACAATCTCAAACGCCTTGGATGTTCCTGTCCCATGACAGCTGCAAATGCCTCTATGGGCTCATTGCCATTTTCAGTTTGTTATGCTTTTATATCCTCCATTTCAGCCTACAAAGCAAATTCAAAAATATAGAATTCAAGTAAATAACAAGTAAACGAACAGAAATATACGATTTATCTCGGTATAACAATAGTTAAGTATAATTCGCACAATTTTACTAGTTGTGTCTTCATCCAAGAACATGTATGATCGTCCAGCTTTCCTTTTTCTTGCAGCTACAAAGACTTCCTTTGGTGTTAAAGGATCCGAAATTTCCTTATCATTTTCCTAGTCACGTGGAAATGTGTTAGTATTCCTAATGACCTGCCATAAACTAAACATGAGCCAAAACTTAGAAATATTTTTTCATGATTTGCGAGTTACACACCAACTTAGAGCGAACTAAAGCAAAACTTCTTTTTCCAGCAGTGTAAGGATTCTTCAACTTTTCCCGGTTTTCAATATTAGTTTTGGACATTTTCTGCAGGAAGAAAGAAGCACCAAATAACAACTTACAAATAGAACTTGAGAAGTATACAGTAAACACAATAGAAGAGAAAATATAGATAGATAAAGATGAGATCAAGTAACCAGAGCAATCCACAGAAGCACATAATAAAATAAAATATGCAGTCCATATGGGCCAGACTTTTCACATTTAAAAGTTTCTGTAAAATCAGTAGCTCTATGTAATAAGCAGTGTCTTAAGAACCCAATTGATGAAGATGACAGATATGCCACATCAAATACTGTACAGTTTTAAGAAGAGCACATAAAGGAATTGCTGAAATGCTATAGAGATAATAAGTACGTGCATAAGCACATGTCAAATTGCAGTTGGACCAACAACAGATGGAATGGAACACCATCACTGTGTAAGACTCCAGAAACAGCACTTAGATCAATGAAAGAAGGCATAAAATACCAACCATGTGTAATGAGAAACATATTTGTCACAAGGAAAATCACAACAAATATGCTTCCAAAGTATGTGTGAGCTTGAAAATAAAACTAAGTACCAACGGAAAAAATAATTGCAATAATTACAACATGTTTAAGGCATGATGGTGCCAACATTGCAATTTTGTACAAACAATTAAAATATATTCCTAGGATCATAATTAAGTTTACATGTCATTGCACTCCAAAATGCCTCCTCCTTCCTTTGATTTGTCACAATAATATGACACATTAACAATACTGTCTACCAGTTTCAAAATTCAAGATCTTATATTAATTTATTATTTCATAATATTTGACTTTCATGTGATATTCAATTTCATATTCACATCTTCTTAAGCTGCTGAAGCAGCTTTCTCCAGAGGCTCATTGTTACATAGGCTTGTATTTGGTCAAGATCACATTTTTAAGAAGAAGAAGAAGAAGACAAAAATGGAGGAAATATCTCCGGGAGGAGGAGGAGGAAGAGGAGGAGGAGGAGGAGGAAGAAGAAGTTCTAGAAGAAGAATAAGAACAAGTAGAAAGAACTAGACTTACCTGGAGATTTTCAGAGTTCCAATACCTAAGGAGTTCCTTAAACTGAGAAGCTAGAACATCTTCAGGGACATTTTTCATTCGAGTTTCATCATTTTGATAGGCGTCAAAGTGAAATTTTTTCAATCTACTCTTGTGCTTTCTCCAGGTAGCTTGGACTATTTCCAAAGTATATTTTTTATCATATTTATCCTACAATTGGTGTCAAATCTGTTAATGCAGAAAATATGAAAGATTTTCAACTAAAAATTGAAAATGAAGATCTTCTGACCTTGGTATATTCCCATACATCCTCTTTTGTATCCATCTTCCTCCAATCCAAAATATCAAGAGGACATAGAGTCGCATTCCTTGCCAACGTGCCGAGGAAACTTCCAAACTCTAGCACAACAGCTTCAGTAGGACCAACAGGTTGATTTAAGTAGTTAATTAAAATCAATTTACGCTCTTGCCGTCCATGTACACTTTTCATCTTTGTTCAACCTCTTTTTCTCCTTTGAATGGAAGGGCCTACAACCATACAAACCAAAGAAAACCACCAAATTACTATTGTTGATGCATTGTGTATGACTGAAATAGGATGTCAGCATTCTAGATAAAGTCTATACGGTCTTACCTTGTTCTTCACATTGTTCATCTGTGATAGGAATTGCCAAATCCAACTGGACTTGTTCCTCTACTACTTCTGTTGCAGGAGTGGTTGATCTAGTGTGTACATTGACTGCTACTTCTGGATATTGGGGTATTAGCTGATTCTCTTCAATGATATTCGACTCTCTTTGTTAGATGGACGCTCTTTGTTAGATGGACGTGCAGGAACAACATATTTTTGGCTAAACGAACTCCTTATTTGGTTTGCCAAAGATGCCATTGTTCCAGCTTTTATGTATGTGACGTTTGTCTTTCTTTTGGCTTTTGAAGGTCTTTCTTGATTCATATTTATCAGAACCTGATGAAGAATACAAATTAAATTAGCTCTAACAGGTATTATATAAAAGACGACAGTTGAATTCAAAGGATCAGACTATTACCTTTACCTCCACAGTAGACCTCTTCTTATGAGTTTCCTCTTTTCTTATTCACCTGTCAAAGATAAATAAGGGGTTGTCAACTTTTTTTTCTACATAAATCCACACAACATATATTACTGGTGGTACAAGGGTCTTTTGTTGATTGGATGCATGGTTGCAAGTGTTGTTATATTTGGGGGTCTCGTGATCGCTTTATGGTATCTTTGGGAAAGGAAAACCTCACTGAAGGAGGAGCCAGAGGACAACATAAAGAAGGTTGACATCCTACAGCAAAATTTTGAGGCCTCTTTACATAAGAATCTGGAAGAGGCTCGATCTGTTAATACTATCCGACATGGTGAAAGACCAGATTTCTAAGGTACATTTGGAGAAACATTTTAATGTGTACTACTATATTTTCATGACAATGTGTTTTAACTTCTTTTTCTGCAGAGATATTTGGATCACATGCAAAGAGTTGGGGAAGTGTAGATATTGGTGTGATAGTATGTGGTCCTCCTACTCTACAGTCTAGTGTTTCTAAAGAGTGCAGAAGGCAGAACTTGCAAAGAAGAGGCCATCAGGCTATTTTCCATTTCAACAGCCTCAGTTTTGACCTCTAAATCACCCCAGTAAGCATGTGATAGCTCGTATAAGGAAGACTTGTTACTGCTCGAATGGGAACAAATTGTGGAAACCACAGGTTAAATCACATGTTCATGAACCAACAACCTTGGAAAATTAACAAAACAAAACACTGTTGTGCAAACTAAGCCAAAAAAATTTCTAGCACTGTCCAAAACTATCCAAATTTGCAAAAAAAAACACTGCCATAAACAACATTGTCCAAAACTGTCCAGATTTGCAAAAGAAAACTCTGCTATAAATAACACTGTCCAGATTTGCAAAAAAAAACTGTCCAGATTTGCAAAAAAAAATACTGTTGTAAACAACACTGTCTAACAGTGTCTAGATTTGCATAAAAAAAAACACTGTCCAGATCTGCAAAACACTGCTGTAAACAACACTAATCTCTGTCTTAACAACAGTCAATGACTGATTTCTTAACACAGCAGAGCTCTGTTTTTTACATCAAAAAGCAAATCAAAGACAAATGGCCAAAGGAGTGCAAATCGAGCTTCAACACTTTGCAACATTAAAAAATTAAAATTCCAAAAAAGATAGAAAAAAGTATAACAAAATGCTGAAAAACAATCAACCAAAAGCACTAACTAGTATATGAAGTTATAACAATAGAACACAGAGGTATTAGAAGCTAAGCCACAGTCTGTTATCAGCCTCATGTGCTTTCCAGTAATTCAGGTGCAGCAGAATTCAGATAGTGTTGGTGCAATGACTCTCAGTCTTGAAAATTGTTCATGCTCCCAAACTACCTACACCATTTAGTAGCTTTAGTACAGTAAAAGGACTAAACATTGCATACAAAGACATTTAAACAAGTAAAGATGGTATATATGACTGCTATATTAACCAGCAAAAACAAGCTTAATATACAAGGAACAGATACAAACTAAAATAATGGAATGATCCTGAAGCTTATTAAAATGAAACAACCACAAATACATGCATGCGTTATATCATCATCCTTCATGACTGCTATATTAACCGGCAAAAACAAGCTTAATATACAAGGAACTGATACAAACTAGACCATCTATGCAGAGTTATTAACAGGGACCCTTTGGAGTTGGTACCGGGAGGCAGTTTTAGCAATCAATACTTAAAAATGGTTTTATATAATCCCTTTTCTAGGTGACATAGGTGGAGTTCATCTTTGCTTCTAGATGGAAATGTGTAGAAAAAATTACTATAATAAAACTGAGGTTATACCAGATAAAAGAGAAACAAGGCATGATAGAAAAGAAGAAATAACAAAAATATAAAGGAAAGAGAAAAGATGAGAGGAGTCGAACAGTAGCAGAGAAATCAGAAGAGGGAGAGAAGAGAAAAAAGAGAAGAAGCAGAAGAAGAGAAGAAGAGAAGAGAAATTTACCTGCTTCAGGGCAGAAAAGCGTAGACCCCTCGCCTCGCTTTGATTTTGCGCTTTAAGCGAGAAGCGCTCGCTTTTAATAACATTGCTTTAAACATGAAACTTCTAGGAGCTTTCAGGATTAATATAGCATTCAAGAAGCATAAATATTTAAATCAACTACATACAACTATCACACAAGAAACTAAGAAATGGCATAGAACGCTACTACTTTACACATAACTAAAGCATAGGAAGCAAAAAACAGTATCGACGAGAAACTGACCAATTTGCGAAGCTCCGAATTATTAAGAAAACCACAAATATAAATACCAATAAACGAACGGAGCTTGGGAATTAGTAAATAAGCCAAATAAACTTCAGAATACTCGTATCGAGTGAAATAAAAGAAACCAAACTTTGCAGTGGTAGTTTCAACATGTGTTTTCTTTAGGAGCAATTCGCTCATGCAAAAGGTCCAACAAGCTGATTCTGGTTACAAGGTATTGCCATAATGATTACAAACTGAATTATCATTTACTTCTCATGACCAATATTACAAAAATTGTGATTTTAAATCTTAAATAATAAATACACATTTTGTATAAGCCAAGCCAACTGCCCTAGCATCTCGAGCCAATCATCGTATAGTTCATTTAAAATCATAACTGCTAAATGACTATATACCCACCTAATGAAAAATTACTCAGGAAAAGTCCATACTAAATAACTTGGCCAAAAAATTATAGAGAACAAAATTGTAACAAACCTTTAGTAAGAGAGATGTCCAAAGCAAATTAAAACGGAAAATAGATGGCAGGATTCTAAAATCCCTTCCCTCGCAAAATCTTCCCGTATGAACTTAAAATCCAACTTCAGAAATTACCCCTTAGAGAGAGGAGAAATATTATATACAATTAGGATGGTATCACTTCACAGCAAGATTAATTTAACATCTCATAATAACTGGAATTTTGACCTTGTTCCAGCAGCTTTGTCAACAAATAACTCAATATTTCACGAGAATGACTAGAAAACAATGTAGTGATGATAAACTTTTCAGCCATGTAAATTATGATACTAACTCCAAACCATATCATGGAACTCTTCCTCCATTCTGATCAACACTACAATAGGGAGCATTCACTATGGCATCATACTATCATCGAACATCGAACATCGATAGCAAACATCAAATCTCATGGTTTCTAACACAAAATCAAAACCTAATAAATAAATCCCCCAATTTCGCAAACTAAAAATCACAAAATATAACGTATAATACAGACAAAACAGAAGTAAAATGGGTTTATCATAAATATTATCAAAGAAAGAAAATAAAAGAAACAATGAAATAATTTTTTAGACTAGGGAAGAAGAAAGCGAAAATCGAACAGGGTAAAAAACCAAACGCCTACCTTGGAGATTATGGTATGTTAGCCGATAATGGTCGTTCTTCACCGGAAATTATCGTCCTTCACCAGAGTTGGTCGACAGAGTTCGTCGGTGTATTCTAGGTTGAAGAACAGAGAAAGCTAAGGGGTGTCTGAGATTTTGGGGGAGTCTGGTTGAAAGTCGATGTGTTCTAGGTTAGTTTTACATTTTAGAGTTATTAAAATATTAGTGGGGTCCACTATTTTAGTTTTTTAATAAATACCTAGGAGGGAAATTAGACCGTTCCTATAGCTTTTTATTTCACAAAATCGTTCCCACAAACAACCCTATTGTATCGCATATCAAAACCGTCTCAATATCTTTACTTATGGTGACAGTTACTAAACTATTGGAACGATTATTGTTCAGAAGTGTGCCAAAAGCCTTTTAACTCTATTAGGACGGTTAAACTGTTCCAAAATATGATCTACTGTAACAATTACAGAACCGTTGCCTAAAAACTGTTCCAATAAATTCATTTTCTAGTAGTGAAGGATAACACTATGAGGATGTGCATTGATCATAGGCAATTGAACAAGGTAACAATTAAGAACAAGTATCATTTGCCTTGCATTGATGATTTACTCAACCAGCTTTAGGGAGCGAGAGTTTTCTCCAAGATTGATCTCCGTTCAGGTTATAACCAGTAGAAGATCAGGGACTTAGATATTCTTAAGACAACTTTTAGGACCCGATATGGTCATTATGATTTCTTGGTGATGTCTTTTGGGCTGACCAATGCCCCAGCAGCATTCATGCATTTGACGAATAACGTATTCCGGCCTTATCTCGACTTTTTTGTTATAGTCTTCATTGATGATATTCTGGTGTATTCGCATAGTTAGGAGGAGCACGCAGAGCATTTGAGAGTTGTGTTGCAGAGATTGAGGGAGGAGAAGCGTTATGCAAAATTCTCCAAGTGTGTGTTTTGGCTCAGTTCAGTGACTTTCTTGGGGCACGTGGTGTCTAGTGAGGGTATTCAGGTTGATCCGAAGAAGATAGAGGCAGCTCAGAGTTGGCCCAAACCGTCCTCAACCACAGAGATTCACTGCTTCCTTGGTTTGGCGGGTTATTATCACCGATTTGTTCAGGGATTCTCATCTATCGCATCACCCTTGACCAAGTTGACTTAGAATGGTGCTTCATTTGTATGGTCGGATGAGTTTGAGGAGAGCTTCCAGAAGCTCAAGACAACTTTGACCACAACTCCAGTATTAGTTTTGCCATCAACTTCAGGGTTTATATACCGTGTATTGTGATGCTTCAGGAGTTGGTATTGGTTGTGTGTTGATGCAGGAGGGTAGGGTTATTGCTTATGCTTCTCGTCAGTTGACGCTCCATGAGAAAAACTACCTCGTTCATGATTTGTAGTTAGCTGCCATAGTTCACGCGTTGAAGATTTGGAGGCACTACTTGTATGGTGTGTCTTCGGAGGTGTTTACTGATCATCGTAGCCTCCAGCACATGTTCAATCATAAGGATCTTAATTTGAGGCATCGGAGATGGTTGAAGTTGCTAAAGGATTATAATATCACTATATTGTACCATCCGGGAAAGGTCAATGTGGTGGCCGATGCTTTGAGCCGAAAGGCGGTGAGTATGTGGAGTTTGGCACTTATTTCAGTTGGGGAGAGACCTCTTACAGTTGATGTTCAGGCCTTGGCCAATCGGTTCGTGAGATTAGATATTTCGGAGCCCAGTCGGGTATTGGCTTGTATGGTTTCTCGGTCTTCCTTATATGATCGCATCAGAGAGTGCCAGTATGATTATCCTCATTTTCTTGTCCTTAAGGACAGAGTTCAGCACGATGATTCCAGGGATGTGACCATTGGTGACGATGGTGTGTTAAGGATGTAGGGCCGAATTTGTGTGCCCAATGTGGATGGGCTTCGGGAGTTAATTCTTGAGGAGGCCCATAGCTCGCAGTATTCTATTCATCCGGGTGCCGTGAAGATGTATCAGGATCTGAGACAACATTATTGGTGGAGAATAATGAAGAAAGACATTGTGGGATTTGTGGCTCGGTATCTCAATTGTCAGCACGCGAAATATGAGCATCAGAGGCCGGGTGGCTTGCTTCAGCGGATGGATATTCCAAAGTGGAAGTGGGAGCGGATCACCATGAACTTTGAAGTTGGACTTCTACGGACTTTGAAGAAGTTCGATGCTATTTAGGCGATTGTGGATCGACTAACCAAGTCCGCGCACTTTATTCATGTATGTACTACCTATTCTTCAGAGCGGTTGGCAGATATCTATATCCGGGAGATTGTTTGTTTGCATGATGTCCCAGTTTTCATCATTTTAGATAGGGCCACTCAGTTTACTTCACAGTTTTGGAGGTTTGTGTAGCGAGAGTTGGGTACTCAGGTTGAGTTGACCACAACTTTTCACCCTCAGACGGACGGACAGTCCAAGCGCACTATTACGATATTGGAGGACACGTTGCGTGCTTGTGTCATTGATTTCGGAGGGTCATGGGATCAGTTTCTACTGCTTGTAGGGTTTGCTTATAATAACAGCTACCAGTCGAGTATTCAGATGGCTCAATATGAGGCTTTGTATGGGAGACGGTGTAGATCTCCAGTTGGTTGGTTTGAGCCAGGTGAGGCTAGGATATTGGGGACAGACTTGGTTCAGGATGCNATGGGAGACGGTGTAGATCTCCAGTTGGTTGGTTTGAGCCAGGTGAGGCTAGGATATTGGGGACAGACTTGGTGTAAGATGCATTAGAAAAGGTGAAGGTGATTCAGGAGAGGTTTCGTACAGCGCAGTCGAGACAAAAGAGTTATATTGACCGGAAGGTTCGAGATGTGTCCTACATGGTTGGTGAGAAGGTTCTGTTGAAGGTTTCACCCATGAAGGGTGTTATGAGGTTGGGAAGAAGGGTAAATTGAGTCCTCGGTTCATTGGGCCTTTTGAGGTGATTCGGAGGATTGGGGATATGGCTTATGAGCTTGCTTTGCCACCCAGCTTGTCGAGTGTGCATCCGGTATTTCATGTTTCTATGCTCCGGAAGTATATTGGGGATCCGTCTCATGTTCTGGATTTAAAGACGGTTCGGTTTGATGGTGATTTGACTTATGATGTGGAGCCAACAGCTATTTTGGAGCGTCAGGTTCGCAAGTTGAGATCAAAGGATATAGCTTCAGTGAAAGTGCAGTAGAGAGGTCGGCCCGTAGTGGAGGCTACCTGGGAGGCCAAACGAGAGATGCGGAGCAGATATCCTCACATGTTTGAGACATCAAGTATGTTTCTTGACTCGTTCGAGGACAAACGTTTATTTAAGTTGGTGAGGATGTGACGACCCGGCCAATCGTCGCATGAGTTGCCACTCTGTTTCCCACATTTCTTCTTCTTATTGGCTTGTCTATCGGTTCTATATGTGATCGGATTGGTTGGCTCAGGTTCGGAAAGGATTTGGTAAGATTTGAGACACTTAGTCTCTTTTGAGGAAGCTTAAGTTGGAAAAGTCAACCGAATATTGACTTATGTGTTAGAGGGTTCGAATGTGAGCTATGACGGTTCGGATAGTTTCGGGAGGTGATTTAGGACTTAGGAGTGTGATCGGAATGTGTTTTGGATGTCCAGAGTAGATTTAGGCTTGAACTCGCGAAATTGGATTTTTTGCAATTTCTGGTTGATAGGTGAGATTTTGATAGAGGTCATAATGGAATTTCAAGACTTGAAATAGTTCTGTTGTGTTATTTTTTATATGTGTGCAAAATTTCAGGTCATTCGGATGTGGTTTGGTTGGGTATATGATCAAAAGTGTAATTTAAAAGATTTTGGAATTCTTAGGCTTGAATCTGATGCCAATTTGGTGTTTTGATGTTGTTTTGAGTATTTTGAATGTTGGAACAAGTTTGAATGAAGTTATGGGCATGTTTGTTGAAGTCTCAGTGGCCTCGGGTGAGTTTCGGGTGGTCAATCGAACCAGTTCATGTTTTTTGGAATTGCAGGAAACTGCTATGTGTTGCAGAGAATTTAGACCTTCGCGTTCACGAAGGGTTAGTTGGTGAAGGCTGGGAATTAAGCATTCGCATTCGCTAGGAAGGCTCCATGTTCACGAAGGCCTGGGTGATTGGTCATCGCGTTCGCGTGAAGCGGACCGTGTTCGCATAGAGAAATTGGGCAGCTGAGCTTCAGGGTATTTTATTCATCTCGTTCGCGAGTGAGGTAACGTGATCGCAAAAGGTCAAGCAGAAGAAGCATCGCGTTCACGATGGGCAGGTCACAATCGCGAAGAGTAATTTTTGGTCAAAGTTGATTTGTGCTTCTCGAACGCGAGGCGTTGACCGCGTTCGTGAAGAACGAAATGAGGCCTGGGCAGAATGCATAAATAGTCGTCTTGTCCGCGATTTTGGGGTTTATTTCCACAATGTTTGAGCGTTTTTGGAGCTTTTTGAAGAGGATTGAAGAGAGATTCAAGAGGGAAATTAAGATTCATGGACTTAATACTCGATTCTAATGTGAATTCTACCTAATTAATCATGTAAATTAAGCATAAAATTAAAGAACTAGGGCTTGAAATTGGAGACCTAGAATTTTGGATTTGAGGGGCCATTTATGGTAGGATTTTGATGTTTTTGGTATGAATGAACTCGGGGAGTGATAAGGAATCCATTGATGTGAATTTTATCGGGATCCGAGATGTGGGCCTGGGGGGAGGGTTTTGGTAATTTCGAGATTTGTTTTGTAAATTTAATATTTTTCGTTTGGGCTTCGTTCCCTTAGCATATTTTGACGATGTGATTCTGATTTTGGATTGTTTCGATGCGAGTGGAGGCCAATTCGAGGGGCAAAGGCATCGCGGGCTAGAGTTTGGACCGGATTAAGGTGAGTAATGATTGCAAATGATGTCCTGAGGGTATGAAAACCCGGATTTGCACATCGTAGTGCTATATTGAGGTGACGCACATGCTAGATGATGAGCGTGGGGTCGTGCACTCTTAGGGATTGTCACTTAGTCCATCCCGAATGACTATTTTACCGCGTATTGACTGAAATCTATTTGTGAACATCATGTTTTGGGCTTAATACCATATTTGGGCCTCGTGCCAACTATTTGAACCCTTAAGGTATTTTTATTGATATTCTATCATTGTTTTGACTTTATACTTGAACTCAGTCATGCTGTATTCAACTG